CAATCACACCAACATAACTACCAAATTACAATTGGTCCATGTGTCAAAGATAATTTATTCATAACGTTTTGAGTTGTAATTAAAAAAAAAACATTCCCAAAATTTCTGTCCTTGTGTCAAGGGAAACCTCTCCGGAGTATTTCATGAAAATCCCTCCATAAATATTTAAGTTAATATCTTGATTAAAAAATTAGCAAACAAACGTATGCCGGCAAAAACATAATTATCCATTTGAAGGTAATAATTGCAATGTATCCATAGGACGAAGATGGTAATGGTTTATCTGACCAGGAACTCCAAGATGAAGTTGATACATTTATGTTTGAAGGACACGATACGACAGCCAGTGGATTGTCCTGGTGTATGTACTATCTTGCCAAACATCCAGAACATCAACGAACATGCCAAGAAGAAATCGACAAATTGTTAAACAAGAAGGCAAAAGATGAAATTGAGTGGTAGGAATGATTTATTCAAATCTGTACATATCAGGGGAAATAGTGTTTAAGATATCACAGTACAGTGTAGTCTTAAGTTTAAGCGTACAAAAATTAGGAAATAAAAGATGAAGACTGTGTCTCAATAGTGGGTGAGACGTGGTCGAGCTCATTACTTCAGCGAACCTCTCTGTCGAGCTATGTAATTATACAATAACGGGAAGCCTGGATTTTTTTTATTTTGATTATAATGCCATGAACTTTTGAAAATGGAGAAGAAAGAAATAGAAAGTGTGGTTAGCGCATTGTGGATGCTTGTATTTCAGTTATGCGTAAAAGCGTATGAGCAAACGACAAACATAACGCTTATACATTTCCAGATGTAAATTACTAGGATTATCACATAATAGTGGTTAAAACGTCGTCTTTTATTTCCTAAATATACACGCCATCATCGCTTTTTACATGGACAGCCTAGCTTGAAATGAACAATTCGGTCATTTACGCAATCCATGTAGCACTAGCGTTAATTTAATAGCGTTAAATTAGATTTTAATTTCATTTGTTAATTTTAATTGCTGAAAAAATAGTTATGAATTCAATTGCAAGTCATAACGTGTACACTAAATTTAGTTATGTAAATTATCCATTGTTTTTGACAAATATGTATAACAAGTTTTGTAAGGGTCTTGATCCTCGCAATCTTACCGGCCAATAAAGTTGATGTATATGCAACACAAAACGGAATGCTACTACGCAATTGGTTTCCTTGTGTTATATCTATGTATATCATGTACATTATGGTTTATATCTAAGCTTACAATTACGTTTTATACACACAGGGATGATCTAGGTCAATTACGCTATACAACACTTTGCATCAAGGAGACCTTGAGAATGAAACCCCCTGTTCCTACGATAGGCCGCGAACTGAAATCACCTTTGAAATTTCCTGATGGAAGAAGTATCCCAGCAGGTGTGTTCAATCTCTGGTTTGTGGTGTCACGAGGCTGTTCATATGTGTATACGTGTCATTCACCACGTCTGCCTTGACTATGAACAATCAATATCGGGTCAAGGGAAATTACCAAACTCATAATAGTCTTGATGCATTGATATATATGCCAGATAATTAAAGTTCCAAACTAAGACACATTCTTGATAAAATACATTGACATGGAAATGGACAACCATATCTTAATAAAACCTAGCATTTTTTTATCAATCAAATAAGTACTACTCAGTGGGAACTTAACTGATTCCTTCGCCATTTCCAGGGATCGTAGATCGAGGACTACACTGCCTGAATGTAAAAAGCACCCAGACGTTTAATGGAGCGTGAAAGCAATTTTTATTTGAGTATTTTTTTTATATAAACATGAAAAATATAGCTAATTAAAACAATATGAATTCTTGGTACTCAACTGGGTGTTTGGAACACTGCTCTGTTTTTGCACAATGTTTAGCTTCAAAGAGACTTATATGAAGTGCAAATTTGATTGTTCATTGCGTCTTATCAGATGCACTTGAATTATAGTTTAGTTTTACATTCGGTTAATGTACAATAATATCTGACAATGGATTATTCATTGATTAGTATAGTTACTTAACAATGGAAAATAGCATATCACAACAATTATGATATTCTTTTTTATTTTATTTACTGTAACAGTACTTATCTGAATCTTTTGAAAGATTTAACATCTTAGTAATCACGTGTCCACATGAAGATTGCATCTGATGTAACATCGATTTTTAATTATGTGAAGTATAGGCTTTTGACAAATACACATTTGGACTTGGTTTTAAATAATTCTATGAATTTTGCTTCATGAAAACTTCCCCTGCATTCTTATACGTACTGAGCCATTCAGTTAGCTATCCCAACAATGTATTCATTGATGGACAGATTGCCAACAACATATCACAGTGTAGGAAAGTCAAAATTCAATAAACATCTACATATATATTTACATGCTCTCTTTTCATTGGCAGGTTATAAAGTGATAATATCTTTTAGTACATTGCACCATAATTCATTTGTGTGGGATAATCCTATGGAATATGATCCAACCAGATTTTTGCCGGAAAATTTAAAAGATCGATCTCCATATGCGTATGTACCATTTTCTGCTGGCCCAAGGTGAGATTCAATAGTTGAATTACATTATTTAGATTGCAGACATATAATTAATGAATATGTCTCAATATAATTTGTTGTTTTATTTTTTTAAAGTATGCAATGATTATTTTCCATTCATACTGTCACAATAATCAGCTAATCAATTTGAATTTGTTTATATTTTCTTGTTAGAAATTGTATTGGACAAAATTTTGCAATGAATGAGATGAAAGTTGTGATTGCAAGGACGCTACGTAGATTTGACCTTTCACCTGTACCAGATAACCCTCCGCAGAGAGTACATACCCTTGTCATCAGATCGTCAAATGGAATCCACCTGCACGTGAAGCCCAGGAATTTGTGATTCTGCAAAATCTGTTATATATTGTTTAAACACACTATTCTCTTAAAATATATCATGGCAATTAAGTGCAATAAAGCAGTGTAATGATTTCTTATATCTCCATACTATAATAACAATCCCGACAATCTGATTAGTTTCAGATTGAACTGTTTACATCATGGTTGGGTATCAAAATATACGTCAGGTGTTTATGGATTTACACAAGATTTCTTGAATTGTCACTAATTACATTAATTCGAATAATTCTGGTAGTTTCAGGTGTCGGCGCATATATTTGCGATGTCATTTCAAATTCCCCTAAACTCAACTACTCTGCACATAATTATTTGGATTGTGAAACGGCCACGGTTTGAATGGACGCAAAAATTAGTAACTATTTAAATAGGGTGTTGGCTGCAAAATTAACTACAATGCTGTTTTGCGAACTTGCAGTAACCTTTCATGAAAAACGATCCTTTGTGCAAATGAGCCAGAACGCTTTACGATGTCTTGAATGCGCATTCACAAATACAATCACGCCGCCAGTTTTTAGCTTTTAAAATCTGCGAAATGGATACAATGAATAACTGAATAGTCTAGGGCCCCTCATGGTATTTCTCACTATATAACACGACCTGAATTTTAAGAAAATTCCAAATTCAGTGGGCACAAAAAACAGTATGCGGTTCACCATTGACAAAATAGAATATTACCAAGTCTACACTATATGCCAATGAATCGCATTTGCCATACAATACTGGAATGACAACATTACCAACATCTTCATATATTTATCTGTGTTTTTTGCTCTTCATATTCAATTATTTTTTTATTGGTTGTATTTTCAATTAGTATACAACCTTCCTTCTACGACAAAATCCCTTTTCACCTTCCATTTTTTTCGGCACTTAGAATATCCCATGACTTGATAGAGTACTGGGTGATATGATGTAGATATTATACTGTGTTTATTTGTCTAGCTCAAGGTACGATATAGTTTTTTTTTGTCCTTCTTTTGACTCAACCAACATATAAGTCATGTTTGAGTTCCTGGAAGGCATCATATTTACTCAGAATATGGATGGAGTGTTCAATCACAGACGATTGTGGATTATAGATTATTGTGGCATTATAGAAGTGTTAAATGGTGAGTTGCAATTTTACATTAGTTTATTTATGGAATATTGTGGGCAGTGATAACTGATGTTTAGTGTAATTAGAACCATATTAGTCAGAACACATCCCAACTGTCTTTTGACTGATAATTTTTAATCATTCTTACTTTTGATACCATTATATTATACTGGAGGTGGTTTTGCACTAACTATAATATAAAAGACAAACTGGCGTTTTTAATTTTGTATTTATTCTGATTATCAATAGCTACCATTTTACATACAATTAACTTATAAAATATTAAGCAAATTACGTTTTTATAACCAATATGAAAATATACACAAGGTAATCGACGATTTCAAAATTAAAATTTACAATTAAAATACTATACACTTCATTTGATATATCTCATAATGTTTCGGAGTAGCCTGCAAACTGTATACCTGAATATCATATGATTAATACAATTACGTCATTTAAAAACCTGAATATGCACATATGTACCATCCCACTGTTTTAATGTTATTTTTTAACATTATTTTGTTATTCTGTAACTGTACATCATAGGCGACTTAAAATTGTCAAGATTGATAGGATGCGGACAACAGATATTCATAGGAACACTATTTAGCCTATTTATTTATTGTATAACCCACTCTTACTATCATTTTCTGTCAACGGCCTCTGAGTTCATTTACAAATGAAAATCTTTTGCGTGATGATAAATACAATGTGTGTTGAATGGACATAAACAGACTATAATTAACTATGGTTGTTGTGCCTAATGAATTATGCAAAACACAATCACTATATGATCTGCGTGTATTTATTGTTTCAAGTGGTCGAAAATAAAAAAAAATATGAGGATACGCCATCACGTAAGATCCACCACCAATTGTCGACTACATTCAGCACCATCATCATTTGAGTTTAATATGGCCATTGTGGTGTATATCGGTAACATGTAATGAAGATAGTCCTACTAGTTTCTGGGTTTTACATGCACGTATATTCCATTTGATGATCTAAGAACAAGGTTACTAATTCTCTGTGGTTGTCTTGAAAGTTCGGGTGATAGGTCGAATCTTCGTAGTGTCCTTGCTACGACCACTTTCATCTCATTCATGGCAAAATTTTGCCCAATACAATTTCTGAAAAAAAAAGTTAATTGAACAGATAAATAATAGCAGATAAATAATACAACCGTTCGCGCAATAAGGCAATGGGTATTTGTTGTCTTTAGCTTGATCACGTTATCAGGACCCTCAATGAATTATGGTTGAACTAATTGCCGCTAATTGATATTCATTAATGCAGATTTACATTCCAATGCATTCCAATGTAAATCACAGCCCATTAATGGTTAGTCCTTGAACATACTGGCCATGGTTATAGAAACCTATTGTCATTTTATGTTTTTGAACTAATTTGCAACTAATAATTATAATAATTACTTAAACTCACCTTGGTCCAGCAGAGAATGGTACATATGCATATGGAGACCTATACCTTGTATTTTCTGGTAAGAACCTGGATGGATCAAACTCAGTAGGATTATCCCATACCAATGAATTATTGTGTACTCCATTGATGCTAATTAACACATTATATCCTTTGAGTGAAATAACACAATTCGCATTAGCCTTCTAATGGTGACGATGGTATGGCATGATATATTGTAGTACATTGTATGTTTGTCATTGTCATTTATGTTTTTCCTTTGTAACCACGTAGGTTTCTCTATAATATAGGTCCACACAATATGATAACCCAATAACATGGTACTATATACTACTGTGCCTTTACTACGTACTGAATAATATAAGCTGTGGTACTGGCAATACTTGCTTTAAATTGGGTTTCATGTGTCGTTAAATAAAATATTGTATATGCTTTCAAACATAAAATGGCGTGCAAGTTCAATGTGGGCGGAATAGGATAGCGGACTACTACTAAAATACACACGATGGTTCTTTTTCGAATTGGGGTGGGGTCGAGAATTGTTATTATTTTTAGAGCTCAGTTTGTAAAAATGAACACACCTGCAGGAATAAATCTGCCATCAGGAAGGGTCAAAGGTGATTTCAATTCACGTGATATCATCGGAACAGGACTTCTAATTCTCAGACTTTCCTTAATACATAATGTCGTATACGGCAGATGGCTTAGATCGCCCCTGTGTGATTAAGGAAATATACATTGACATACCAAACTTATAATCCACATACAGCCAAAAAGTCATGTCAGGTGTTTTGATAAGAGGGGACACATTATGAGCAGTGGTTTCAAGAAAATAAACTATTTCCGATATGACATACCATTCAATGTCTTCCTTCTTAGTTTTGACCAACAGAGCGTCTATTTCTTCTTGGCATCTCCGCTGATGTTCCGGATATTTAGCAAAATTGTATAGACACCAGGACAACCCACTGGCAGTTGTATCGTGTCCCTCAAACATAAATGTGTCAACTTCATCTCGGATTTCTCGGTCAGACAGACCATTACCATCTTCATCCTTACATAAACATAGATAACACTGAATTAACTTGTTAGATTATATAGGTATAAGAAATTATATTATTAAATTTCATTCTTGTACATTCTTTTATTGGTTACAATATACATATATGTACGAATTAAATTTTGTGAATTACATAAAAGTACATGTACGTGTAAAACCACTTGGTTTTATAATGAACCCACCCGTACCTTTGCTCGCAGAAGAATGTCTAAAAAGTCGATGTATTTCCTTGCTGGCTTATCATCCCCACTTTGCTGCAAGGCTTGTTTTCGTTCTTGAATAACTCGTACAGAGTAACCATGAACTGCTCTGAGGGCTTTCCTGAATTTATATCCACTGATCGACAGGTTATAGATGATGTCGCTGTGGTAAGGCACAAATCTACCTCGCTCGCTTATTAAATGAGATAAGGCATATACGCTGCTTATATATGGATTTTGGGATCTGTATGAATATACATATAATGACATGTTATATGTGACTGACGGCAATTGCCATCTCTTCAAGTTCACTCTAATGACGTCTGCATGTAGGACGAAGCACGCAAACGTAACGTGTTGGCTGGCGAGTTCTCAGAAGCGAATTCGGCGACGAAATGCAATATATTGAAAGTTCAAGTATGGCATCTTCACCAGCCAAGGCTCGTCTATTCGGCCATCAACTCACCACGATCCATTCGCGGATTCTATATAGCAAACTTATATGAGTGCGCCCTCTTACCAGATGTATTTTTCTAAACATTGTCCAATTAAACCCCTCGCCATAACTGAAACACAAACCAAATAGATACGTGTACACTAGAAGATTTTCTTCCTTAAGCTGACATTTTACTATCTATTACTATATGACATCTAACATATCTTGTGAATCAACACATTGAAAAATAGGATAACTATCACCTCGTGGAGTACTGTTTTGCAATTTACACTGCGCTACAGTGACAATATAATTATTATCTGTAAGCTTACATACTTAGCGGTTTGACAGTGACTTTCTTGACTGAAGATACACTTTAACAAACTATCCAAAGTCATGAGACTCAAATCTCCAAACATTTCTACGGAAACTGATTTGGAGCTAGATGATGCGCAAAGATTAGACCACTTATCCTAAAAAAGAAAATAAATGAAATTTTATTTTCTCCTGAAAGGTAAAAGAGGTTTTTACAAATTGTTTTGAAAATTTAAAAGTAAACAACAGCAATAAAGAGTTATTTTCAGATACAAAACTCGGCCAAAATTATCTACATTTTGAAGACAGTCGATCCATTGTATGCTTTATAATAATACATTCAAGTGTTTCGGAATAATTATTTCGCAAAATGATGGTTTTAGCGCTTTTTAATAATTCAACATGAGTTTTGAGAAACCACGGATCTCTTAACCATGGAATAATTTGATTATTGTATTATTAAATTGGTTGAATGTTTTAAGACAAAAATGTCTGTGTTATGTATACGAGACCTAAACATAAGTAATACATACCAGCATAGTCTTCACACAGTCGTTATATATCTGTACATATGGTCTGAGAATATCGAAATGAAATCCAGGAGTTAAAAGACGTCGGTTTCTAAACCATTTTTGTCTGCTGCTTATTAATAGTCCATCACCTAGCCATGGTTTCAGCAAGCCGTACAAGAACTCATCTTTTGGTTCTATTGAACATAATGAAATATGAATATATGAAACATTTACTTAGTGATCAGCTACATGCTAATTCAAAGATAAAGATAAACATAAACGAAACACTTAATTTTAAAAATGTACCTGACGTGGTTAAAATAGCTTTGATTGTCGTTGGGTGATTGACCATCACTCGTGGAACAAATGGTCCAAGCCAAATTACTGCCGCTGGGCTGAATTCAAGGGCACGTCTCGGGACTTCCGCCAGGCTGTCCTCGTTGTTTTTAAACTGTGGCAATAAATGTGTGTGTATACGTGTTAATGTACCTTCGATCGGTGCTTAAAGTGCAATTGATGCGACATTTAATTAAGTCTATGTTTAACTGGCGTTGATTGCAATAATAATCATAATAATAATAATAATAATAATAATAATAATAATAATAATAATAATAATGTGCCCTACCAAGTGTAGATGACCAAACAGCCAGTGACGATGTGGGCTTGGTATCTCAATCAGGTCTCTCTCTGCCCGCCATCTTGTTCGCAGTTGCTGGTATAGTTTGCAGAGAACATTACTGAATAATGCCACCAAAATAAATAGTCCCAGAAAACGGTAGTTGAATAAATCATATCCCTTGGATACCAGTTCCTGTAAAACTGGTCGCAGAAATCCCAACATCGTAGAATAGTAATGGAAATCGATGGTTGAGCTAAGACATTGGATGGCAATAGTAATAATAGATTAACCGTTCTGAATAAAGGTGAACAAACTGTTGTTAGATCAAAGTGTTACTAAGTACTTGACTCCCAGTTAACGTTTTATAAAGATTATCTCTTGTACGATAAAAATCAGGTGCAGTCAACGGAGCTGTTCGTGAAAAAATGTGTTCGCAAGGGATTTTTAGCGGGCAGGCAAAATAAAACATCTTCAGTGGGAGGGCATTTAAAATAGGATTTCTCAGAGGGGAATTCCAGTTGGAGAAGATTTTTATTCAGAGGGCAGGCAAGTTCCATTTTTAGATTGAGTGAGTAAGGGCAAAATACAGAATTTTCCGCGGGCATCAACAACCAAATTGCCAAAGGGGAGAAATGTTTAGACTGGCCAAGGGGGAATAGACCGATGGCGCAAACTGCATGATATTATCCGCCCGAGGCAGACTGTGCTGTTCCCTTTGTGGCACGTGACCAATTTGACTGAACGCCACCACCGATGACAATCTTAGCAAACAATGCCTGTATTTTGCAGTTCAGTGCACGTTAGTTTTTTTGGAGAGGGCAATCTGATTAAATTAATCTTTCCTGTGTTTTCCTATATGCATACCCTTTTTAGCTCTTTTACTGGCATCACGGCTCGTATATGAAAAATAAGCAGCGCTTATTGCTGGAGGGGTTATACCCTGTCCTATATTCGGTGTTATTTACGTTCAGAACGTCAGTCAATGCTTCGTAAATGGTATAACAGACAATATTATGTCCCCTGCTGCAATATAGATTCGTCCGATGTGGGTGTGACCACAAGACTCAGTACAAATGCAGATGTCAATATGTAAGCACGAGAACTTCGCGCATTTGAAAAAAAAATATTTGTTATTTATTTATTTATTGAGCAGATCTACAGACAAAGAGCAGAACTACAGATTTGGAAAGAGGGCGTGTTCCGCGGGTTCCGCTACTTGTTTGCGACAAGGGCCATGTGGACTGAGAACAGAAACAGCACAGCGGATCAAAAATGTTTACGTCCGCTCATAATCCCGGTCCTGACAGAAGCGAGTCTGGCAAGCGAACAGCTGCGTGGTCACGATAATTATCAAGCCACATATCAGGTTCATTATGTATATGATATGTTGGTTGAATTACGTTATCTACAAATTAGACTCGAGAACTAGCTCGCTCGACCATAACCGATGGTGTTACGTTTCATATAATATAATAGACGACCAAACTCGCTAGTCTTCATCTGGTACTGGTGATAGATTTGTTGCTGTCGCCACAGAAAGCTATTTACAAACAGATAACATTCTTTGCTAATCACAAGTCATTTATGACATATATAAAGGTTTTCGCACATCCTTTATTTGACTCAGAAACACAATAAATTACCATCTATATGTAGTATATAGTATTATTATACATCTGTCACCGTAACGCCATAAGTTACAGCGTGCCGTAATTTTGCGGTATTTTACTGGGTATTTTCATTCTGCCATATTAGGAAATGTGAATTTCAAACATGGAATGATTACGCGCGTAAGCGTCCTCTAATAATAAAAACAAACATGGCCTCCACCAGAATTTGACCGGACTCCACACAAAGAAGTTCGCTGATTCTGCTCTGTACTGTCTTCGTGCATACTTTGAGGTGTTCTCGTAATAACTTCATATACATGCAGAGTTTTTAAAAATACATCTTTCTTCCAAACCAAAGGTTTTCCAGAATATGTTGTTAAATATGATGACACTTCTAAACAGATGATCTCTGATAGAATTGATGTCTGGTTTTATGATGATTATGTAACATAAAAATTTTAAATGTCTAATCATGTTTTGTCATTCATGATTTCCTAGGCGACTTTTGATAGTTATAGATGAATTAGTGATTTGTTACGTTATTTCAACGTGTCAACAAACCAATTAAAACTGCAAACTTGAAGGAATGAATCAGTAATTATTTATGACAGTGTAATTCGACTGTGATACATTGTACGATCTCTTTTTTGAAATTGTTACATGTGACCGTTGTAAGCACTATTCGACGCAAGGAAAACTATTTTACGTGGTAGTTCACGTTGTAGCTACTACCATACCATAGTAAACAATTTTGCTGTAAATATATGTGTGTACGCTCTGCTCACAGTAATATGCACAAACGGTGATAGTGATGAAAAGACTGTTTAGTCAAATAAAAATCGGTGTAATTCTTTACATGGTTTCAAAACGTTAACACCTATAGTACTTGAGTTTGACATGTCGAAGAGTGCATACCAACGATATAGGTTCAATATACGTTTGTGCATTGTCCAGCTCTTTCACCTCACCTCGGCATATATATTTTAATTCAATGATTTCCAATTAGTTGAGGTCATTATGAATTTATAACTTCTTGTAATCGATAATGTTCGCCATACATAAGCACATTTCACAGTTACGTACAAGTACATATCATAAGTTATGAATTATACTATCAGGGGTAAATTCTCCTCTATGGGGTTCTCCACACGTGTCAGGGGGAAATCTCGTCTCGTCTCTATATCGCTTCCCCTTGAGGTACGGGATCGGGAAAGTCATTTAAGCTTTACAGTCAAATAAGACACACACAACGAAATACGTTTTAGCTCTCGTCTTAGTCGGTCATTCGAGCACTCTATAAGACACAGTGCCCTGGGGGAAAATCCCCAAGACTATCGCAAGGCTGACCCAAGACTCTCCAGGACTCGACTTAGACTCTCTTAGACTTAGACTGCGTCTTTTCTCGTGTACTCGCCAAGACCAACTCAAACTCTCTTTATTCATTTTCAAAACTCTAACCAATTACAAAGCAGTAAATCATAAAGCCAATCACACTAAGTACTGAATACGTCATATCTTTTGATTAATCGTTCACTACATTAATAACTACGGATACCAACTGTCATAAATCGTAGTCAGAATAGCGACGGTTATCTCGTAATTAGTTCCAAATCACTGAGCCAAGTTCCGTCCAGGACCTCGCCTGCCTAAACGATGACAGACATAACACAGCAATTCGCTCGTAATCAGCTAATTAAGTCGATTTACCATATTATGCAAATACAGAACATAGCATGCGCAGTGCTTCAGCTTGTTTCAAAATATGTGTTTTCACCAATCACTTATCTATAGGTTAACCAAGTGTGTCACTTAAAAAGTAATATGCTTTGAAAATTGAAAAAAAACCTAATCAATATCTAATATATTTTCCAATGACGAAACAAATTCCATTAGAATATATCAATAATTGGCACTGGTGGTGTGTAAATGGAACGCACCACTGATATTATAGAATTTTAATATCACGTAAATTCCATTTGATTATTTGAGAACGACGTTATTTACCCTCTGTGGTGGTTTTGACAGTAGAGGTGAAAGGTCAAATCTATGAAGTGTCCTTGCTATGGACACTTTCATCTCATTCGTTGCAGTTATTGCAGTTGTCCTTGCATATGATAAGAATATAATGCCCTGTATGCTTCACTCGTTTGA